ACAAACACACATACACACGAAACCCCCCCCCCCCGCACGGTCAGCGATCATCGCGGTGCCGTTTCGTTACCTCTCCTCTGTTTTGCGTTTCCCTTGTATTTCGTGTTCTTTTGAGTTTGTCGGCATGACGGTGATCCCCGCCGCCCCACGCCTCAATCCGGCTCAGCAAACAACTCGCAAATAACTCCGCTGTAACGGCAGTGAAGGCCGTAGCGAAAGAGCCGGCCGGTCGCCGTCCGCGTGTGTCGCGCGGTGTCCCACACGTCGTACAGCACGCGAACATGCCGGACGCGCTCGTGCGGGGCGACACCACCATCACCACCACCGCCGCCGTGAGGGTCGGTGACCCACGCCACCAAGGACTGTGCCGCGGCGCTGTGCAGCGCAGGATCACGCAGGCACTGCGGCCACCACCCGTGCTCTGCCGCGGCACTCGCGAGGGCAGCGAAGGGCGACGTCGGAGCACAAGGTGACGAGAGCGAAGACAACGACGCAGCAGCAGCAGCTGCCAGCTGCTGTGGAGGTGAAACGGCCGTGGTGGTGGTGATGGTCGTCGTCGTCGTGGCCGGAGAGGAGGTCGAGGAAGGCGAAAACGCGAACGGGCTCTGCGCCGTCGCCGCCGCGGCAAACGCGCGAGCACGCCTCTCGTTGGTCAGCACCAACGCGCATATGTACCGGCGATATGGGTGGACGAGCAGGCAGACCCCGCCGGGAGTACACAGCGGGTGACTTGCGTAGCGCGCTTCGAGCTGCTCGAGGTCGATGCACTGACCGTTGCTGGTGCATGCGTGATGGGGCCGCAGAGACGCGACCAGGCGAAAGGCACCGTCAGGACACCTCTCCGCTACCATACTCGAGTGAAACCACCCGTTCTTCTCCAGCACCTCGGCCGTCAGCTCCGGCTGTCGGTAGTAACCCGCCATGACCGTCGGGCCGCGCAGCACCAACTCCCCGGTTGGACGCCCACCCTGATGCGTCCATCCGCCGGCTACATCTCGCAGCTTCACCAGCACCGGCCCCAGGGGCCCCCCAATCGTGTCTAGGTGCCCCGCGCAGTACGCCTGCTGCAGGCCGCTGCCGGCCGTTTCCGCAGGACCGTACTGCTGGACCACCGACACCCCACAGACCACCTCGAGGTACTCCTGATCGCGCGGGTGCAGCGGGGCTTCGCGGGAGAGGACGAGCCGGCAGCGGCCGCCAAGCAGCTCGCGCGGCTGAGCGAAGATCGTCGACAGCACAAACGGGGACTGCAGACCGCGTCGAATTGCTTGTCGACGCGCCTCGTAGGCGACCTCGAAGAGCAGCTTGCGGTACCCGGTCGAGAGCATCGCCTGCACGGCGCGGTGCAACCGGGCAAGGGTCGCCGGCAACGCGGGGAAGATCGTTGGCTTGTACTCCGTCAAGTCCCCGTGTGGCAAGGCGAAGGCGTCGAATAAGGTGCGGCGCGTGCCGTAGCACACCAGCACCCCGCGCGTCAGCAGCGTCGCCTGCGCGATGAACTCCGAGATGTGATGCATGGGGAGGTAGGCGAGGTAGGAGGGGCGACCGGCGGGCGCGGTGCGGGAGCGCAGGGCCGGCATGCGGGCATTGGCGTAATAGCGCGCGAGTCTGCCCTCGCCGCTGCCGTTGCCGTTATCAGTTCCGCCACCACCACCGTTACCGCCGTTCTTGCTATCCACGCTACCGAGGTGGCCGCCGCCTTCCCTGCCTCTCCGTAGTCCATCGTCAACGCCGATGTCTGTCGTGTCGAAGTACTCCTGCTGCGCCGCCATGGACGCCTTCAGCGCGCCGTGGGTCAGCAACACCCCCTTCGGCTCACCGGCGGTGTAAAACACAAAGGCGAGGTCATCCGGCCGCAGCGGGGCGAGTGGGAGCTGTGCAGGGCGGCTCGTGTAGTTGTTGCCGCTGCTGCTACTGCTGCTGTGCTGACCTGGCGGCGCCGTCGCCGCCGTCGTGGGGTTTGGACCCAGGTAAGGTGACGCGACGGGATGGGTGACATTGAAGACGGTAGCCACCGCTGCCGCCGTCGCGACGCCGGTTGCGGGTCTTTGTGCAGGAGGACCCCCTTGCGGTGTCGCCGAGGAGGCGGGGACGAAGCCCACAACTTCTCCTCCTCCTCCACCCCCACCAACCGCGTCGAGTTGCTGGCATGCGGTGGTCGGTGCGGTGGACGCAGACGTCATCCCGGCAGACGCGTTTGCGCTTGCCGTCGCCGCGGTGGTGGTGGCGGTGGTGCACGTCGTGACGGCTGCCCAGCCATGCGTGGGCGCGGTGATGCTCGTGACGATCGCGCTGCCGTCGCGCGAGCCGGCGCCACCCGTCGTCGAGTTGGCGGGTGTACCACCCGGCTGCCGTCGCAGTGTCGCCGTACTGCTTGAGTCGTGCGTGCTGCTATTCATGCTTGCCGTTGTCTCATTCCGCGCCCATCGCTGTCGCTGCTGCTGCTGCTGCTGCTGTTGGAAGCGCAGACGTGCTTGCTTTTGCTGACGCTGCCGTCTCTCCCGCGCCTGTCGTTGACGCCACGCGGACAGCTTCGCTTCGCCGTAGGACAGGATGTCGCTCCACCACAGCGCCTCCTCTTCCTCCTCCTCCTCTTCGTCCTCCGCGATCTCGACTTCGTCTTCTCCGCTGTCGTCGTCACGGGTGTGTCGGCGAGCTTCCGCCGTGTCCCGGTGCTGTGGCCCCTCGATGAAATCCGAGGCACGGCGACGTTGCGCATGACGATGGGAATGTGAATGCGGAGGCGAAGGATGACCAGCGGACGGCCCTTGTTGCGATGGACGCGGCACGTCGCATGTTGTTGCTGAAGAAAAAGGTGCAGTAGGGGCAGCGGCGTGCGACACGCCGTCGTCGGTGCGGTGAGCCGAGCGGCCATGGCGCTTCGGCTTCTTCTGTCCTCCGCCGTCTGCCCCGTCGCGGGCCGGCGCAGCGGAGCGCACCACGATGAAGAGAGGAGAGGCGTGCTTCAGCTGTATTTGCTCATGTGCGCTGGTGTTCGTCGATGCCGACGTCGCCGCATCGCTGTTGTGGAGACAGGCGTTTTCCAACTCCACATCAGCAGCAGCAGCAGCACACTTCTGTCCGCTGCGGTCATCCTCGTGTGTGTTTCGATGACTGCTTCCACCATCGTCAGTGGCAACACTGCCGTTCATCTCACTGATGATGTCGCTGCTGCGCGTGTTTGCGTGCCGCTGCTCCTGTTGAGCGTGCCGCGCGGCCCGCATCGCGGCGTGGGCAAAGTGTCTGCGCAGCCGGTGGTGCACTTGTGGGTTACACACAACCGCCTTCATCTCACCGCACGTGTCCATCGCCACGCGGCGCAGGGTGCGATGGGCGTCATCGAACACGACCACGACAAGGCCGCTGTTCCACGCCGCGTAGCACGTGACGAGCCACTCCCACCGCGTGTCCTCGACGATGCCGAGGAAGTTGCCGGGGCGTAAACCGATGCTGCGCAGGCCGCAGCTGAAGGCCTCGACGCGCGACCACCACACCGAGCCGGTCAGGTACTGCTGCGGACCTAGGTAGTAGAGCGAGGCGGCCCGTGCCGCTTCGCTGCGCGTGCTCGCCTCCCTTTTCGTGTCCTCGTGGCTCCCCGATTTGACGAAACGAGCCGCCGAGCGTCGTGGTGAAGTGCTCGCCATCGTCGCCGCTGCACCGTCAGCATCCGCAGCCTCATCGTCAGCGGCGGAGACACCGGGCAGGTGGGATTCATCGTCTTCCGCCTCCCCGCGTGCGTTCTGCAGGGCCGCGGTGCTCGTGCCGATCCGCAATCCGAAAAACCCACGCGACGCCTCCGGAAGGCCCAGGAGGGAGGTGATGCGGTCCACCGAGCGCCAGCACACCAGCGGGGCGTTGCCGATGCGGCGACACGTCACGTACATCTCCTCCACGAGCGAGACAAAGCGGCCGGCACCGTTGGGGGGATGCTCGACGTGACAGGGCGACCCAGCCGTTGACGCCTCTGCCGCTGCTGCGACTTCGAAGAAGCAGCTTCGAGCGCGTGTGCTGCCCTCCGGCTGCGCAGAGCTGCCGATCGGTTCTACGTCTTCAAAGCACAGACTTCTGTTGATACCGGTATTGGTGGTGTTGTTGAGGCTACCGAGCAGGTACTCCGTCTGCGGGTTTCGCAGCGACGCGGGAGCACCCAGTGGTGAGGCGGCGCAGAGGAGGCGCTGGCCGTCGCCGCGGACGTCCGGCGAGCTCTCGCGCACCGTGAGAGAAGGACCCGCGCCACCGCCAAACAATGCGGTACATTGAAGCAAGTACCAGTCTCGCACCGCGTCCTGCCCCGTGGCGCGCAGTGCCGTGGACGGTGCGGCGTAGACGACGCTCTCCACCGCGCGGTAGGCCGCGTCGTCGTCGTCGTAGAAGTACTGGAAGGCGTCGGCGCAGTCCATCGGACCAAGCTCCGCCGCCGCCGCGTCTTCCACGCCTTCGTCTCGCTTCCTGGATGACAGCTTCTTCTCTTCCGCTGTCGGCGCGTGTACGTGCTTGCGCTGGCCGTCGTCCGCGTCGGCGAGATCGACAAGAAGAGTGTCGCGGTGATGATGAAGACGATGACGCTCGCGGAGAACGTTGTTGTTGCTGCTGTAGCTGCCGTTGCTAGCGGCACGATCGGACAGCATCGGCCGCAACGGCGTTAAGGAGAGCGGCGTCGCCTGATCTTCGGCGCTGCCGCTGTGATACAAAGCATCCGCCACTGCTGTACCAGAGTGCTGCGAGTGTCTTCGGCTCAGTTCAAGAAGGCTATCCTCCCTGTCCCCTTGCTGCGTGTCCGTCCCCTTCCTCGGTGGTGTGTTCATCAAGGCCGCCGTCGTGGAGGTGATGGGCGGGTCCGTCAGCGAGGGCAGCGGCGCGGAGGCCGGCGTCGTTGATGGCGCGCCGGGAAACGTGAAGCGATAAATCGCGTTGCCCGCCTGTTGTCCCTCGTTGGAGGCGGCAGGGATGCGAGGTGGACGGGTGAGACGACGGCGCAGCTCCTCCTCCTCCTCCTGTTGCTGCTGCTCGACCGCATGTTTTCGGGCCATCACGGCCAGCTCCGCCGCCTCTGCTGTCGCCTGTTCGTGGACGACGTTGTTGCCGTCTTTTCCAGCTGCTTCGTCCGCCGTGTGGTCGATCCCTCCTCCTTCATTGTTATTCGTATTTGCATTATGATTACTGCTGCTGTGGATGTTCTTGGAGAGCCGCTTCAGTGCCTCGAGCACGGCGGGACGACGCGTGTTCTCGTTCGGGCCTGTCGCCAGCTCGGAGCTGCCGGGCGAGACATGAAAGCTCTCGCGACTGTCTGCAAGGTTGCGGCAACTGTTGTTCTGCTCATCGCAATTCGCTGTCGTGACAGCTGCTGCTTCTTCTTCCGTGGGCGACGGCGATGAAAGCCGCCGTCCATGCGCGGGGTGTGTGATGAGGGGGACAGAACAGGGCTGCTGATACGTGACCTGGCGAGCCTGTGTGGCGCTGACGTTGGGGTAGAGAGACTGGCTGCTACGGCACTGGAGAAGCGTGACGAGTAGCGCCCCCATTCTTGTTATTTTATTTGCGTATGTTGAGACGACTGCCCACTCTGCCGAGGGCACAAACACACACACACACACACACAAGATGGAGACAGCGAGTCCCCAGAAGTCACGAGGTGTGGCTGCTCGAAGTATCGTCCGCGCTTTACCAAGAACGGTAAATAATGATAACCAAAGAAGGGTATATATATATAGAGAGAGATGCGTGAAGAGCCAAATCAATTCAGCAGCAAAGGGAGGGAGGGAAAGTTAAAGGAAAAAACCTTCTGCGAAGGAGGAAGCTAGTGTGTGTGTGTGTGCGTGCGTGTGTGTGGAAGCAACAAGAGATAGAAGCAAGAGAAAAGGAAAGTACACACACAGACACAGAGAGATGAACTGCCCGAGACTAAAGTGCCGGCGATAGGTAGAGGGTGTAGTAAAGCAATAATAGTAATAAAGAAAAGCTATGACTTGAAAGAATGAATGTTATCGACAGCGGGAAAGAGTGGGAGTCGTGAGTACCACAGCAAAGGAGGACTCTACGAGCTTCATCGACGGGGTGGCGGAGAGGCACACGACCATTAAAAGAGGAGAGGGAGGAAGAGAGAGAGAGCGAGGGAGAGAGAAGTACAACGACGGAGCAACATCCGTGACCGCAGAAAGAAAAAAGAAGAAGTATTCATTTCCGCTTCCTTCGTGTCGTCCCACTACGTGCCCTTCGGTTGTTTCAATAAAGAAAAGGCAATCCCGCGAAGAAACATATCCGCTGATGGCGTACGACGCAGCGGAGAAGGAGAAAGCCGGTGCTGCGACGCTCCGCAGTGCCCTGCTCCACACACACACACACACA